GGGGGGGGGTGATTAGGTTTTCTGGGGAGGAGAGGGATGATCTGAAGCTTGCATACCTGCTCTGTTGGCCTATGTACTTCCCTAGCAGACTTGACCTGTAGGTTCCCAGGGAATGCCTGATAGAGTTGGGGGCTGGGATACAGGGATGAGTGGAGGCAAGAAGGTTGGAGGAGAAGATATGAGCAATCTGCTGGAGATGGGGATGTGGGGGGGAGGGGACACTACAGCAGGAGGTCTGCTACAGAGCTGGTGATGGGACTGGATTAGGAGAAGAAGAATAAGAAGCTCTTTCTGGATTTTGCATGTCACTATTTGTCTTCAGCGAGAACTGAGACTACAGCTTTGTGGCAGGCTCGAAGGGGAAGTAGGGCTCTGTTTTGTTATGGTTCCTATAGATACCCAGGACACCTTTAAAAAAACATTTGGAGATGAAAAAAAAAATGGAGAGATGGCTCATCACACTTAAGTCCTTGCATTCCAAGCATGAAGACCTGAATTGATAACATGTCTATGTGATGCCTCTGGAAAAGTGGAGACAGGGGAACCCTTGGGGCTCATGGAGAACAAGTCCAGATGAATCAGAAAGCTCCAGGTTTAGACAGAAATACTATCTCAAAAAATATGGTAGAGAGTGCTTGAGGAAGGTATTGGCTTTGACCTTTGGCTCCACTCATCACATACCTGCATGTACACCTGCACATCCACGCACACAAAGATTTTCTCACATATGGGCACGAGCACATGCCCAACAAAAAGTGTATGATAGATATTCTATTCACCTCTTAAGTTTTACCTTTGCTTTGAGTTATTGAACCACTGTGGCAAATCATAAGGCTGCTAGTATCTAAATACCCAAGACTTTGCAATCTTTAAAGGACAGATTTTTATTTTTATTTTTTTTTATATAGTTCAGGAGTCTTGTTGACTAATTTCTTTCCCTGTGTAGACTTTCCAGTAAACTTGACTCATTCACATTTGGTCTCCTTAGTGAATTTGTTGCTGTTGTTTATCCAACACTGTTTTAACTGAAACTGCTATTCATGATAGAGCTAAACTTCACCTCAAATGTCTGTTTTCTCTAACCTACCATTCCAAGATGACATATTTCTTTGATGCGCATGTTTGCCATGGACATACATGACAGGATAAGACAAGGCAAAGGTTCTTCCATCTTGTATTCTTGTTGAGGCCGCTTCAGGTTTAAGTAGAATTTGGTCTTCTTGCTGGAAGATCCCATAAAAATTATCCAACTGTGTTTGAGGAATTCAAGGTCAGGATATCCTACTAACATATGTAAGCTTGTTTGTCCAGAACCCCCTACAGATAACTGTTTGTAACTTCTGTTAAGCTGTCTATTTCTGCAAAACTCACTAAAGATGCCAAGACATGGAGCTCTGGACACTTGGAGTCAAACCTAGTTACTCTAACACCTTGGTGTAGTCTCACCCAGTTGCAATAAAGACTTTTAATTAGCTATAAACTAATTCTGAGTCGTCATCTTTGATGGACTACTCATAACACAGGCTCCCGCATATGATGGGTATCACAGTTATTCTCAACCCTCAATTATATAAGATACATGATTTTGTTAATCCAGCAAAATGGTTCACCGTGTTAGACACTTGCCACCAAAACTGACAACTGGAAATTAATCCTTGGACTCACGTGTAGAAGGAGAAAAGCGATTCCTGTGAGTTCTCCTCTGACCTCATACTTGCCATGGCGTGCATGTTACAGTTCCCAAAGAATAAATACATGTAATTGTTAAACATTGAACATCTTCTTTTCTTAGATCTGGTCTCAAATAAGGAATAATACATCTAGTAATTTCTCCACTAATGCTGGATAATCTGTCCCCTGAAGGTTTGTTTTAAATTGATGAAAGTGTAAGTCAGACATGTCTCCACTCTTCTTCCACGTAATCTACCAACTTCTTGGCTTTGGTGCCCACACAGTCGGACTTCCTTCTCTACCTCAAAACAGACCACACTATAACTCTCACATCCTTCCACTTCCTTCGGGGCTACTCTCCCAAACTTACTCCTCTTTTCTTCATTTTTCCCTAAAGTCTCACAAGTCTAGACTTCCATAGTTCAAAAGTTCAGTCTTTTTCACCTCAAAAGCATCAGTTCCTCAAGCTCCCCACATCTGCTTTTCAATGGTAACAGCAGGTACCTCAAAGCTGAGTTTGAGAATGTAATGAGATAAAAAGGACTTCATGGGTAGAGAAAATACACTTGGTAAGAGTGCAGTTCATTATTCTATTGTACTTTCATTTACAGCATTACTCTGTCTCCTGCTTCTGCCATGGTCCAAAAACAGACTCAGGAGGCCCAGTGCTGCTGAGACCACCATGACTTGCAGGGTCACCCTAACAGGGCCAATGGTGCTCTTCTACGATGACAGTAATGGGGACCAGTCGTCACTAACTTCCTCTAGGGGTCAGCCGTAAGCTGCCCAGTTGTCTGTGTCTCAACGCAAATTCTATTTCATGGATCTGATACAGTGTCTTCAGCCTTCATAGGTGCTACTAGTAACAATATACTCAATACTTCGCAAGTTTCAAAGGGCCAGACTTTTTTCTCATTGTCTAGGAGGAATAGGAGTCCAAAACCAAGGAGTCAGCGAGCTTGAAGTTTGGTGTGGGTCTATTCTAAGATGATGCCACCTGATATGTAATGTTTCTGCCCTTTTGATTTGACTCTGTTGTTTGGAGTTTTTTTTAATCTCTTTTTCTTTTTCTATCTTCTCTCACACGATAAAGTTTGATGGCAGCCTCCCTTTCCTCTCCTTCTTTCAGTACCTCTACCAGCCATCCTTCTGTCCCAGATCCACTGTTCCTCCATTCCCCTTTAGAAAAGAGAAGGCCTTTCAGTGATATCAACCAAACCCAGCATAACAAGATGCAATAACACTAGGCGCATACTCTCCTATCAAGGCTGGATGAAGCAGCCCAGTATGAGGAAAAGGGTTTCAAGAGCAGGCAAAAGAGTCAAGAGTCAACACACAAGACTCCAAATGTTGGAGTCCCACAAGAGCACCAAGCTAAACAACCATATCATGTGTGCAGAGGGCCTGGTGCAGACCCATGCAGGTTCTGTGATGGGTGCTTCAGTCTGCATAAGCTCCCCATGAGCCCTGTTTGGTTGTTCTGTGGGCCGTATTCTCCTGGTAAAGTCTCCATTTCTTAATACTATGTTTCATTTAAATTTGGAGGGGTGCAGTTAAATCAAATGTTAGCCTGTAGAAATGCATGGGCCATTGTGAACAAAGTTTTTATATACTCAATCCTCTTGTATGTTTTCTTAGCTTGTAGTTAAATCCTAACTTTTGTAGATTATAATCATAAATTCTAACTTTCCTTGAACAATGGTTTCTATTTTATCCACATACTTTATAAGCCTCTGAACAAGGAGATAGGAGCTTATTCTTTTTTAACTCTTCTCTCTTCTGTCTCTCTGTCTCTCTCTCTCTGTCTCTGTCTCTCTCTCTCTCTTCTCGTTTGCTTGTGTGTGTATATGTGTATAAGAGAGAGAGCGAGTGTGTGTGCACATGCATGTGCTCAACCTCATTTGAAGCACATATTCTAAAGTAATTCTCTCTTTACCTCTTATTATTAGTCAAACAGGCTCCCATCATGCCTATTCTTCAAGAAGTGAAATCAATCTATTCATGGCCTGGCTCCTACATTTCTCATCCCTTAACCTCAATTTCCACACTGAAAATCTACCAAGGACATACAGCTACCTTATCCCTTCCTCTGACATTGTTATCTGTCTTTACTCACCAAACATTATGTTGTGATATCATCCACTTAAAACAGGTTCTCATGACTCCCCAAAACACACAAGGCTCCAGTTCCTTGATCCCATTTTCTGACAGATCTCTTTGAATGATCTGTCTTTTCTCAGTGTTCTATTTATTTCTCTTATGCCCAGTCCTTTAGGCTGTGCAAATCACTGTTATCAAAGACTTGTTTGACCTTTAAACTACGCAATCTGAATATTGATTGATTCTACCCTGTCTTTCCAAACTTCCAGCCGTCATTTGACAGGTAACCACTCCTTGAAGCATTGCTTCCTTTTCATCTGGGGTGTGGCACTGTTCTTGTTTGCTTTTTTCCATCTCTTTTTTGTTATAAGTTTTGAGCCAGGGTCTTGCTATATAGTCTAGACTGACTTCTAACTCATGATCTTCATGCTTCAACTTCCAGTGTGCTGGAACTACAGGCATGTGCCAACACGCTCAGGGTTTTCATATTTCTTGTTTGGATGCTTAGGCATTGTGATTCATTAGAAGTAGTCTTTTTGTGTCTTTCAATTGTGTCTCTCAATTTTGTGCCGATCAGTTGTGTCTTGCTGAGTCTAGACTCACTCACTGAAAGCTACAGGAGAGATGACATAATAATATCACCAGCTTTTAAGATGAATTACAGCTTCTGGTTACTACTGGCTGTGTATGTTAGACACACTTATCATGAACTTTCTCATACACTTCTCTTATGAATTCCACATTTCTGTGCTCAGCAGTCTGCTCGACACAGGTCTTAAATGTATACTAAATACAGTAAACTCATTTCCAACTTCCAAGCACTGACTGCTACCTTCCCATCCCATGTTCTCTTAGTGTCTTTATAAAGTAAGAATTGCAGTGCCTTCCATTGCTCCAGTCAAAAGTCTTGTACTCTTTTTTAAATTTCCTCTTTCTCTACGGGAGACAGCAACAGCATCCAATAAAATGGGGATGAGAGCTGTCTTCCAGAGAAGGCAACCTGGCACCAAAGATTTTGATGCTAATGTCCTGTCTCTGTGTCCCCTTGGTGCCCCAGCATCTGGCCTCTTTAAACTCAATCCTTGTCTTGATATATATATATATATATATATATACATATATATATATATATGTATATATATATATATATCATGGAGAACTAGGAGAAGGACAAATAAGTTCTTTATTCACTTGTCTCAAGTCACTTAATAATCATAAATTGTACTTACTTTATAGAAAATGAGAAGCTTTATTATGGTTAGAAGTAGGATCAGTTTGCAATCAAGTCCAGCTGCAGAAAAACAAAGATGTATCCTCAGCTGTGGGCTAAGAATTCACATCCAGTATCTTTAAGGTCTCTACCCCTTAAGTAGAGGGATGGAAAAGTGCTTTATATGAATTTCAGTAAGTCAGAAAACAATCTAATAGATCTCAAATAAGAGTTTTAGTATAGTGATTAATGCACAATTTTACATAAGATCACTAGATATCAACTTTTCATTAAGACGTGTATATGAATTAATATTAGGCCTATGTTAGTCACTCATCACTAAACATCCTTAGGATAAAGTAGATTATAAAAAGTGGTACTCTCCTTCTATTTCAATTTGCAGGACTTACTACTTTATGATTTCATAAGTAAAATATCTAATTTTATAAAAAATATCCATAATTAATAAAATTTGGAAAATCTGTAGAAATGAGTATATAAACACCGCTATGTGATTATGGGAAACATATTTTAATGAGAAATGAAACTGTGAACTCACCCAGCCATAGTGAATGCTCACCTTTTCTTCTTTGTGGATTTACCCAGCCATCGTGGATACTCACCTTCCCTTCTCTCTGAGTCAAGACTGCCAGTTCCCCTCCTAAATATGTGACTGTATTAACCCCTTCAATACAAACTAATTCTTCTTATTTAAAAGAAAAACTAAAAGAAAAGCTTATTATGCTTCCTAAAATAAATCTATGCTAATAGTTTGTACAACAGAAGAACAAAGAATGAGAGCTCATGGGTGCTATCCTCTTAATATGTGATTTGATTTTGTTAGCCACATTCTAAGTTAGAAATTCAAACCACATAAATGATTTTCACAACAGAAAATGCCTAAGAAAGCTCATAATAGGGTTGGAGAGTTTGCTCAAATTTAAGGGCACTTAATGTTCTTGCAAAGAACCTGAGTTTGGTTCCCAGTACCCATGTGGCAGATTAAAACCACCTGTAACTCTAGTTCAAGGAGATTCAGCACACTATTCTGATCTTTGTAGGTACCAAGCATGCATGTGGTACACTTACATACATGTAGGCAAACACTCACACACATAAAATAAAAATGAATGAATATCTTTTTTAAAAAAGAAAGTTTATAAGACAGGATGCTTTGAAATGCCAATCTATGCTAATTTTCATGAAAGATAACCCTCCTACATGTATATTGGACCTTAAAATAGTGTCTGATAGTATTATCTACAGTTAAGGTTGTTATTCTTTTGGTCCCTGCCCTGGTCACTCCCACTCCTTTTAACCCCTGACCTTGCCCGCCATTGCTCTCTCTCCCAGTGTTCACACGGGGCTCTGCCTCTCTCCTCCTCTCTCTCCCTTCTTCTCTTTCTCCCCTCTCTCTCTCTCTTTCTCTCTCTCTCTCTTTCTCTCTCTCTCTTCCTCTCCCTCTTTCCCTTTCTTTCTTTCTTTCTCTCCTTGTTAATAAATTCTTATATGGCTATTTCCTGTGTTTATATGTCTGTAACTGCCGCCACCGCCAGCGCAGTGCGGGCCCTCCCGCGCCGCTTTTTCTCATGGCGGGCTCTGCCAGCCCGCCCAAGGGATATTTTTTAAGAATAAGATTGGTGCCGTGTGACTCAGATGATTCGTGCGCCCCGGACTTCTACCTGGGGCCGGAGTTCTGCCGGGACTCTGAGTTCCCTCCCGGGGCAGAATCAGGACCTGAGTACAACGACCACCTGTTCCATCTGCCTGGATGCAGCTCCTCCAAACAACAAGTCAACTAATCGTGAGTGTCCCCATCTCTGCCAGCTTAACCATCTCTTTTAACCCAAGGGATTGACCGTTGAGCTCCCGGCAACCCTTCATGGTTTTTAGGGATGGGGGGACCTTCAACCACGGGCTTTCAGGGTCTCGGTTGTTCCCTTCGCTTGGCATTCAATCCGGCTTGTCTCCTGTGCTAAGCCTGTGCCTGAGATGGCTGGCCTTAGGCAGCCCCTCAGCCCACCCGTTCCTGGAGGCCCGGGGCCTCTAGTCTTTTTCTTTTTTCATTCTTTTTCTTCCTTCTTTTCGGTGTAACTGCTGCTATGGTGCAGCACGCCGCTATGGTGCGGCCTGACCTAGGCTGGATCCCTCTTGCCTGCGAGTTGATTCAGCTAGGTTATAGGCCCCCTCCCCCCCATGGAATCGGATACCTTTTCATACGGCCCGGAGGTTCGTGCCATCTGCATCTCGCCTTAATGGGGAGCCGTTCTCGTTGTAGGCTTGAGGTGCCATGGTTTTTGCAGGTGTTTGCACAGCCTTCACCATGGGAGCCAAGCCATCCAGACCTATCACTCTGGCCTCATGTTTTAATGCCTTACACTTACACAGCCGTTTTTCGGTTCCAGCCTTTTGCCCCTTCCCTGTGCAGCTTTTATTGTGGCATGGCGGGCTCTCTAACAGAGCAGACTACACAGTCGCCATCTTGGCTGAAGGCCAGATGGGTCAGGTGACTTTTTCCGCCATCTTGGCTGAGGGCCAGACCACGTGACCACACTCTCCCAGTTTTACCCTGCCTCTTCACTCGGTTTTCACTAAACTCCTCATGCTAACTCTGTTAAATGTGTTTTGAGCAACGGTTAAATGCCTTTGATAGGGTCCATCAGAGGCGTCCATGTTGCCCAATTCTTGTTCACTCTTTCTACGTATAATAATTATTTATTACATCTCATTTCAGATTACAAAATGTGAGTCTTATATTTTAAACTGGTATGTACCTTTAAGTCTCTTAAGCTGTTCTCTACCATTGTCAGTTCTGCCACTAACCTTATATTACAAGCAGTTCTTTCCCTCTCTCTGCCTTTTTACAATCTCACCTGCTGAGAGCCAGTGTGGTCAAGCTCAGACCCAACTTTCCAAACAAATTCTATACTGTAGTTATACCTGATAAACAGCCCTCAACTGCTCAGAGATCTGGGGAATGTGATATTTAAGTATTTAATTATTAAAAACTTTTCACAGCAACAAAAAGAGACAGGTTGGCTCCTAGCAGCAGCTCTCTGCTCCCTCCAAAGAAGACAGAAGACAGACATGTTCAAAACAACGTCCTTCTGCATTTCGCTTCGACTGCAGAGCGCTGACCATTGGGAAAACCTGCCTTTCATCTAAAGTAAAGACCTCTAGACGTGGACAGAATCACTGGAATCGACAGCCTAGCTGCTCAGGTCAAGGTAGGCCTGTCTTCCTACAGATTTCTTAGCCCACAGGATATTCTGGAGCCTGGCAGGCCCTGCGCTAAACAGCAAAGTTCAAGTGCAACCTTCAGCGACCATGGAGGACCCAAAAAGAGTAGCTCTGGGTGCCAACCAAGTAAGTTCTCTGTCATTTTTTAATCGGTAACTCAAGTAAAATTTTATCCTTCTCAAAGATCTCTGACAATTTGACAGCTGAGAGGTTTTGCAAGGTGACCTCACCAAACAAATTTCAAACCAAATTTATCTCTTAAGTCATTATATTTCTAAAACTTCTTTTTTCACAAACCCAAGGAGTTCTCGTGAGTTCCAGGGAGCCGAATTAAAGAATCCATCTTAAACAGGTCAGATACCCCCTCAATCCCCTGGTCCTAAAATTTTTTTTCCCTTAATTTAACTTTGTTCTTTGTTCTGCCAATACCTTAAACAGGATAAGAGATACCAGACATTTCCATGCCACAGACACCGGTCAAAAGCAAAGAGACCAGCTATGCCAGGATGTTCCCAACACCCAGCCTTCTCTCGCAACCCCCCCAAAGACGACGCCCACAATCAGCCGGAAGCAGTCTTGAGAATTCGCCGCCCCAATTCCTTCAAACTGGAGTGTCTAATTTTCTTTTTATTAAAAGCAAGATGTGGGAATGTTATTCTTTTGGTCCCTGCCCTGGCCACGCCCACTCCTTTTAACCCCTGACCTTGCCCGCCATTGCTCTCTCTCCCTGTGTTCTCTCCCAGTGTACACACCGGGCTCTGCCTCTCTCTTCCTCTCTCTCCCTTCTTCTCTTTCTCCTCTCTCTCTCTCTCTCTCTCTCTCTCTCTCCTTCTCTCTCTCTCTCTCTTCCTCTCTCTCTTTCCCTTTCTTTCTTTCTCTCCTTGTTAATAAATTCTTATATGGCTATTTCCTGTGTTTATATGTCTGTTACTGCCGCCACCGCCAGTGCAGCGCCTTTTTCTCATGGCGGGCTCCGCCAGCCCGCCCAAGGGATATTTTTTAAGAATAAGAAAGGTTATGTATAAAATTTTATTATTTGTCTTCATCTGTTTTTATCTTTGTTATATTTTTGTTTTATAACACTTATTTTATGCTTCATAGTGTTTCAAACTATGAGTATAGTAACAAGAACGTATTAGTTTAAATAAATAAATGACCGTATACATACTATGTGGGCCAAGCTTTATTAATCATGTGAAATGTTGTTTAGAGATCACTGCCCCATAGGACAGCAATTAGTAACACTGAACTTTGTTCTTGGATGAACCCTAAGCCTCTCAAATGCTGGGAAAGTGCTCTATAACTGAGCCATGTCTCCAATCCTGCTTCGGAATCTGCTCACTGAGAAGCTTTCTCGGGCCCAGGGTTCTTATGCTGTTCTCTTCTTGGGCTTTTTCTTTGTTACAATGCAGAGCCATACTATAACCTCTCAGACAGGTCCCACACCCTCCCTGTCATCAGTCCATTCAAACACACTCATGAAACACATTCTTTGTGAAGAGTGTAGTGGCACAGAGCCCAGAGGTTCCTCCTGGGAGTTTCCAAAACTGACAACAAGAGCACTAAAATGTTCCTGGTATTTAGCTAACTCTTGCCCTCCTAGGGTGTGTGCAAACTATGCAAATTAGTTTACTGGAAGAGGTCTGTCATTGCTCAAACTAAAAGTCTAGACATGCAAACTACGTCTAGCTAATTCCTGTTTAAAACAATAAAAGTATAGACTTTTCACTCTATTTCTTCTGCTTCTGATGAGTTCAAACAATATTATGACATTGTCACCGAGAAAAGAGAACATGGAATACAATAATAATTAAACCATACCAAGTATTTGTTATGGCACTAATTTAAGCAAGTTATTTGAGTGGCAAAACATACTTAAAACTTATAAGAATTGTTAATGACAATAACACCTATTTTAAAAAAACAACTAAGGCACAGAGATATTTACATTCTGTTTATTTTTTGTGATAAAAGGTACAGGGAGGCAGAATTCAGTGATTGGCAGTATGATCAAAAAGACTGTGTTACAAATCATGAATGTTAGCTTACTCGTTCTTCATGCAGAAATCACAAGTTTTATGGTATTTTAACCCTAACCCTAATAAAATATATTATGTATTTTACATTTTGGATGCAGCCAGTCTGATTGATAAACATCTCTAAGTGTCTCTCTGAGTTTACAATACCGTAGTCAGCTTAGGTTGTTAACATGACTTACCTGGGTAAAAGGGAAGCTCAAACAAGGAATTGCCTTTATCAGATTAGCATGTAGAAGTATTTTGGTTGCTAAATGCTACAGCAGGGCCTAGCCCACTGTGTGTGGTATCATACCTATGCAGGAGGGACAGGCTGCATAACAAAGACAGGTGACGAGCCTGTACGCAGTGTTCCTCATGGCTTTTGTTTCAATTCCTTCTTCAAACTTATTCCCTTAGTGATGAATTATTACCAGAAAGTATAAGATGACATAAACCTTTCCTCCCCAAGTTTCTTTTGGTCATGGTGTTTATCACAACAACAGAAACCTAACAAGAGTACCCTAAGATTGGTTTTACTATAGTTTCCCAGGGAACCAAAAGAAGACAAATCATGAAAGTTCTATGTGAGGCTTGAGTACAGGAATGTGTTGTCTCTCCAATATTGCCTTACAATAGATGAAGTCACTGTTCATTCAGCCCATAAATTCAGCCCTCTTTCTAACCCACATTGCATGAACCTAACTGATCTTGCCACTGCCTGACTACTTGCTTCTGTCAGTAAGTCTCCCAACAGACTGTGTTCTGTACAATCCTAGACCTATTTATCTTTTTTAGTGGTCTCCAGGTACTCGGGGCAGGTTGATAGAGGGGCCAGGCATTCTCATACACCGAGACTGAATTGTTCTGTAACATATAATTAATGTAGCTATTTGGAGCATACTGTTTAATAGTTTTGACAAATGTGTACGCTCAGATACTTCTTGAGGTAAGCAAGATGAAGAATACTCACTCTCTCCCTCTCTCACACCCTTTCAAGAAATAATACAGAATAAGAGCAAGCTGACCACTTTACCTTTCTTTCTTTTTTTTAATTTATTAAGGATTTCTGCCTCCTCCCCCGCAACCGCTTCCCATTTCCCTCCCCCTCCCCCGATCAAGTCCCCCTCCCTCATCTGCTCGAAGAGCAATCAGGGTTCCCTGACCTGTGGGAAGCCCAAGGACCGCCCACCTCTATCCAGGTCTAGTAAGGTGAGCATCCAAACTGCCTAGGCTCCCCCAAAGCCAGTACGTGCAGTAGGATCAAAAACCCAGTGCGATTGTTCTTGAGTTCTCAGTATTCCTCATTGTCCGCTATCAGCCAGACCCAAAAAGAGGAACATGGGATGTACTCACTCATATTTGGTTTCTAGCCACAAATAAAGGACATTGAGCTTATAATTCATGTTTCTAGAGAAGCTAAATAAGAAGGTGAATCCAAAGACAAACACATAGGCATCCTCATGAATATTAACCACTTTACCTTTCTTATGACTCCCATTTGCATGATATAATTTTTACTTCTTTACTTCTTTGAGAGCCAAAGTTATGTTTAAGTTTTAATTATTGTGTTGGAGACATCTATGAAACAAACAAACAAACAAAAAGCCTCTTATGTAAGTTCCTTGCCCAAAGACAGATAGTTCCTGAAATACTGAAGGCTATTACTTATGGGAGATAACAAACCAGGTGGTTTTGCTCCCCTAAACAAATTTGTTTGACCCATCTGCATCAGATCACATGTGGGTGGGAGGTGCATGGACAGGAAATATATCAGGATGCACCCTTGCCTCTGATTGGATGTGGAAGAGACACACATAAGCAGGAAGTATATCAGGAGATATGCTTGTCCTTATTGGACCTCTTGGGAAATGTGGTGAATTATGGGCTTTGTCTTTCTTAAGTCCCTGCAAAGTGTAACTCGGGGCCATTTCCTGGGAGTCTGGGTATGGACCTGGGCAAAGTTTATCTACTTGGCCAGTATTTAATTAAAGCTTGCTTCAGATTTGACTTTAAACTGTACTAGTGATCTTATTCTCAACTGGGTAGGATTAACACTTGTATGATGTGTGGCATTACATTTAACGGAATTTTCTTATGGACAGTGTGTGTGTGTGTGTGTGTGTGTGTGTGTGTGTGTGTGTGTTGCTGG